TCTCAATTTTTTACCGATTCAAACCAAACACCCTGCACATAATCGAGAAATTCCAGAGTCTCATAGGTCACACTTGTTGATCACGTCGTGGTTTTGTATTTACACGGATTATCATTGGGGTCTGTCCAATGGTGAGACATTTTCATATTTTTTATTGAACCTAGCACTTTTCGTTGTCAAATCATAACCGAATCGTATATACGTGACTTTGTGGATCATGGGCAACTTATTAATATGTATATACCGGAAATTGTAGGTTTTTCAAATCGTCCAGGACATCAGTTGATTTGTTCTACTAGATCAACAAAGACTGCAATAATGTCTGTAGTATCGAAAAATGTCCAATCAGATTCAAAGTGTGGATCGTGCATGATCTATTTCCGAGTAATCCAGATGTTCAAGGTTCTTCAAATCGTCCTGGAGTTCAGATAATTTGATCTATTAGAGTGGCTAAAAATCTCTTAAATAAAGATTAAAAAATCAGTGTTCACTCGGCTGTCGACAAAAGCAGGCCACTCTCGATGTGTGCTACGCGATCGTCTGTTTTCTCGACAGCAACCATTGTGTGGTCCTCCTCATTGTTCTTCATCAGCAGTTCTTTCGGTCGATGCGTCGTCGACTTTGGAAAGCAACCGTATCGTGATGAGTGTGTGAGTGCTGACCACGTTTTGTGTCCATTGCTGCAATGGACGCGCTCTGACCCTCGTTGGCATACAACAATTTGCCATACAATGAAACTACTGGAAGCGGCTCCAGTTCTGATGGAGGATGCTTTTTGGATAGCGGAAGATAAAGTGTTTATTGTGTTGTACCTTTTGACTATAGTTTTAAGATGTATTGTATAGTGACCAAGAATCCTCGGCTCTGTAAAGTTAATTCGGTTGAGCCTTATCAAATAAATTAATAAAAAAAAAAAAAAAAAGATTAAAAAAAAAAGATCAACCGAGATTGGGACAATGTCTTTAGTAACGAAATATTTTTAACACAGTTTTTATATGGATAATGTATGATTTATTTCCACGTATACCAGATGATCTAGGTTCTCCAAATCGTCCTGCAGTTCAGATGATTTGTTTTACTAGATCAACAAAGACTAGGATAATATCTGTAGTATCGAAATATCGATTTGGAAATCCTAGAACATTTGGCATACACGGAAATAGGTTGGAATGATCCAAATAGACACTGCAAATAAAAATAATTGTTTGGGCATATTTCGATACTACAGATATTGAATTAGTCTTGAGTGATCTAGTAGAAAAATAATCTGATCTCCAGAATGATTTCAGAACCTATAACATCTTGTATACGTAGAAATAGGTCTGGCACAATCCACATAGACACTTTGAATCTGTTTGGACATACACTGGAGTCGCTTTTTACGCGGGTGATACGTCCCGCGTAAAAAAAAACCGCGTAAAAAAAACCGCGTAAATTCCGGAATCCGCGTAAAAAAAAACCGCGTAAATTCCGAAATCCGCGTAAAAAAAAACCGAGTAAAAAAAGACCGTGTAAGAAAAAACCGCGTAAAAAGCGATATACCGCGTAAATTCTGAAATCCGCGTAAAAAAAAACCAAAATCCGCGTAAAAAAAAACCGCGCAAATTCCGGAATCCGCGTAAAAAAAAACCGCGTAAAAAGCGACTCCAGTGTATTTCGATACTACAGACATTATTGCAGTCTTAGTTGATATGGTAGAAAAAAATTAACTGAACTCCAGGACGATTTGGAGAGCCTAGAATATCCGGTATACACGGCAATATGTTCATATTGGAAATAAAAAAAAAACACATGAGAATGTCACACATTGGACAGACCCCAGGGAATTTCCGGTGTGACTTATGGAATTGAGATCATTTCTAGATTATTTGCAGTGTGTTTGGTTTGAACCGGTCAAAATTGAGAGTCAAGTGAACAACAAAATTGATCACAGCAAAGTAATCCGGGACGGAAACGTTATAATAAATTCCACAATTTTTGTGACAGCACATCTGTCCCTTCGCGATTTCCGCGACATCATTTAATGATTCCGCGATTTTCGCGACTGAAAGATCAAATCCGCGACAAATCCGCGAAAATCGCGAAATCCACGCCTGTTGCAACAGCCCTGTAAATACATAGTTTCATAAAAGTAAACATAGTGTATTTTTTTTTTTTCCTTTGGTTTGTTTTTTTCGTCGATCTTGTTTTCCGTGCTGAGCACCAATGCTACCGACGTGCCAGGAAGGCAGCTCCCACACCTGAACCCTACCTATCGACCCATCAACTCATGAACCGGGGACCAACGGCTTTACTTTCCATCCGAAGGAAGGCGTGATCAGAGATGTTATGCCTCAGAACATCCCGGCGGCGCCGACTGGGATTGAACCCAGGCCTACTGGGGTGAGAGGTAATCACGCTTACCACTACACCACCGGCGCCGTTAAACATAGTGTATTATCAATACTTAAAAAAAGAAAAGTGAAAATTACTAATTTCATCATCTTTCCTGGGGTATGTTATAGAACAATCATGTTAGGCAGGCGGATCAATTTTTTATTTAATTCTTTATTAGGGAGATAAGGCAGCTAAATGTCCGAAGTAACAATCACGTACCCATCATTGCAAACTGTGCATCGGACAATTTTTGAACTATGATTATCTTAAATAAATGAAAGTAGAGTAGACCCATCCAGGGTGTTTTTGTGTCACATACAAGCAGCGCTGCCATTTATACAGATTTATCTGTATTATACAGATTTTTTAATCTTAATACAGACCCGATACAGAATACAGATTTATCACAGATTTTTAAATTACAATACAGATTTATACAGATTTTTATAAAATGCTTGAGAAAAAAAAATCTATATCAAAATAAGTTATCAAGCAGTTCTCACTTATATCAATATATGTTATAATTTTGATATTCTTCGCATATCTTTTAGCTCTCATTTTTGTTCTGTTAGCCATCAACTCCATCAAAATGAAATCAATTTGAGTTATCAGGAATAATGAAAACAACATAATTCTTCATTTTCATTTTGTTCTCACCCTCTGCTCGGGAACCTATCAAATTTCCATCGACAATTAATCATGTTATGGTGTTTTTGACAGCATTCACAACCAGAGGACCAACCGCTTTCGGATGCATATGGAGCTGGTAGTTAACGATTTGAGATTGTATGGGGATTTACAGTATTAATTGAATATTTCCAATATAAGCATGTATGTTAAATACAAGAAAAGTGCCCGAGCACATTAAAATGGTACAAATACAAGTACTCGTAAACATTTTACTTGCATTGAAAATGTATTTCGTAAGAAATTGCGGATTTTCTGATATTCTCCATACTGCAAAAATGATTTTACCAGCACTGGCGGGGCGACATCTCTCGACTTTTCGGTGTAACTACCACACAAATGATGTAATTAATTGTATTCATCTATATTAAAAATATCAAATAGTAATGAACTCGTGCACTTTTTTGCATTTTAAACTGCTTATCAGGAAGATAATGAATAGAAACTAAAATCTCCATACATTTTCAAACGGCTTCATATCACTCTTATAAATAAGTGCGGACGATATCACAAATGGCGCAATTATATCCCGTATGGTTAGTACGATAGCCCGAATAGGTGGTTAAGCACTTTTTATGGTTATTTTGTATGCACTGTATTTGTAAAACAGCAAAACATGATTAATTAAAAAAAAATCGTCAATACAGAAAATACAGATTTTTTAATAGAGTGGATACAGATTTTTTATAAAACCACCTGGCAGCTCTGCATACAAGTTAGAAGAGCTATACTCGCGTCACTTTTCAAATAGACCAATGTAACATATCCACCATTTTGAGAAAATCGAAGTTGAAGTTCGACAGGTTATTATTTTAACTGTTTAGAAACAATACATTTTTTAATACCATTTTTAATGTAGTCAGTGAATAATAACGTTGAAAATTAATAAGAAACTGTAAAATCACAATTTTACTTTGAATTTCATGCTATAATATAGAAAAAACCACATAGGACATTTGAGAAGTCAAGTTGTACATCGGGCATGTTACATTGGACGATTTTTCTCAATGACATAATCAATGAGTGTTACATTGGACGTTTTGTCTACATGATACTAGATTCCCTTTCACAGATTTCAGAGTAGAGTACCTAACTTCAGGTTGGCCCCACCTTTAGAAAATGAGCACCAATCATGTTAGACAGTCCGAATGACCGAAGTAACAATCATGTACCCATCATTTTAAACTGTACATTGGACAATTTTTGACCTATGATTATCTTAAATAAATGAAAGTAAATTTGGATGGATGTTTTTGAATCACATACAATAATAGAAGAGCAATAGTTTGTATCGTTTAGCTCGATTTGTTTACATTTGTTACATTGGTCTATTTGAAAAGTGACGCGAGAATAGTTTGTATCGATTAACTCGATTTGTTTACTTTTGAAAAGTTACACGAGAATAAATTATTACACAAACGATACAATCGAGCATCAACCCAACCTGATTGTCAACCAGATTGCAGTGGGGTTATAAGAAAGTGTTGCTATTTCAATCACTCACTGTGTGCATCAAAATGAGAAGGAACATTGTTGCCAAGTACAAAACGGAAATTTACTAGTTTGATTAAGCGAAGCACTTTACTTGCAAGAAAGTTAACATGGGACTGATCACGCAATAATAGAATGCATATTTAATATGATTTTGTTGTGATGTGATCAACCAAGACATTGAATTAAATAATTTCTATAAAGGAGAACTGAAGAAAACCGAGAAAATCAGAGTGAGAGGTTATGTAAAAGAATTTTGATTGTCTTTTGATTGCTCCACATATCGCTTGTTGCTTTTACTTCCATCACTTTCTCGCTACGATTTTTTTTTGTAGCATACCCTCCTGCTCTGTCTTTCTGGACAAGTGAGGACTTTTTCTTGTACCCATCATAAAAAAGGTTACGATTTCCCGTTTGTATTCATTCCTACAAGCATCGGAACTTACCTTTTTAATAAGAACCACAACTTAAAGATAATATTGCTTAAGTGTACAACTAAATCTATGCAGCGTAAAACAAAAAGTGAGATTTTGTTCTTCGGAAATATGCAGTTTAACAATTTTTTTATTTCACCAGAGCACACGTTGACGTTGTACTGTCTGCGTGTCAGCACAAAACGAAAGCGAAACACTGATTGGGAATGGGAAATGGGAATGCAACGATGTGGATGTGAGGCTGAACTGAGAGGCAGAGGATGATGATGAAAAAATATTTAACGAAGTACACGAAGTCACAACAAACGCGAGCACAACACGACGAATCAAAACAGAAACACGCTCCCGAGAGACAACTCGAAATTCAGGGTATACACGCTAAGATCAGTAACTTACCCAAACCTAATAGCACAGATAACCAGACATACCTCTTGGATACTTTTTATTGAATAAGCAATTAATGGTCAATTTAAAGTTTTCTTGGTTGGTAAAATCGCCACTCCGTACTCTAACGGAACTATCCACCTACTCTCTTCTAAAGATCATTCTCTAGCTAATAAATTATCACATAAAGCTTCATGTTAGCATTTCCAACCAACTCTGAAAATCGCCACCTTTTTCGCTCATAGGCATATGCCACTATCGCCATCTGTTGAGCGTGCTACCCATGATAATGCATTCAACAGATGGCGATAGTGTTTCAATCACCTTTATTTCTCGTGTGCTTCTCAAATTCAACTAGTTTTTGGAATTATTTATTGATCTATTGATTAATTGATGTTTGTTGGTTAATTAATGGCACCAAGAAATGTGCAAAATATTGCGATACACTCAATTATTATTTTGCACGTATGGAATCGAAAAGAAAACTCATATGAAACGCTACCTTTCGGCAAGGGTTGATAGATAATTGACATACAAAACCCTGCTACCGAATTTGTTTCCTAGGCCCATCCCACCCTCTCAGGATTATAGAGGTACAAAGGAACCATGATTGCAAAATCCGTTCAATATCAGGACTTAAATGCTAGAGATGAACTAGCCTAAGGCTAAAAATCTCTTAAATAAAGAATTTAAAAAAAAAAAAAAATTAGGACTTAAATGCATCGCCAGGACTCCAAAAGTGCTGGAACTAAAACGTGCCTGCCAGCTGCGATTAATTTTCGTGACAAATCTCGCGCAACACGAGAAAAGGGCCTACCATTGTTGATCGATTCTCTTCATCAATTTTCTCTTTCGCGAATAACCCGACTGCAAATGAATTTCCAATTGAGTGTGTTGTTTCAGGCGCAAGCTAACATTATCTTCTGCCGAGCTTTGAGTGTGTTGGTTTTTTCCTTTTAATTCCGTTATAATTTGCTTATCTTTTAACAGATACGCGTATTTCGTCTACTACTTGCAGACTTCATCAGTGCCAAGTACCAACATTTTTCATGTCACAATTTACCTAACCATGGCAGTGGATACCTGCCAATGAATGACATGGCAGTGGATACCTGGTGCTGTTTAATACCTATTGATTAGTATATAACTCGTAGATAAAAGATGGATTCTTCAGTGATGTTGAGTACTTGGCACTTATGAAGTCTGCAAGTAGTAGACGATTTCATCAAATTTATACAAAATATTTTAAGACGACATCCGGATAAGTTTTAGACCAGGTTTAACTATAAAATTTAAGCGGAGGTGAAAAAACCCCTAACGTACTTAGGTTTTCTGATCTGACCGAGCTGAGTCGATTGGTATGACATTCGACCTTCCGGGCTTTATGCTACCTGGCAGTGCTCTCTTTTTCTCTCACGGAAGTATTACTCAGTTATCATGAAAACTGGAGTTTCCAGTTTTTATAATTGAATAATATTTCCGCGAGAGAAAAATAGACAGCAATACAATATGACATAGTCGCTGTGTATGTTCAAACTTAGGAGCTATAACAATGTATACCTTGATGAATTAATTCTTATCGGAGACGAACCAGGTCCAGGCTGAAAACCTCCCTAATAAAGAAAACCAACCAACATTTTTCTTGTCGATAATTATTATAACATATTAGAACTCTGTACTCTGAACACAACATCGTGCATAGCTAATTTAAAATCACGACGAGTAGCAGCTACTTGAGTTAGGGACGTATACGTGTAATACTACAGATTCTTTAATATCTTAGGAGGGGGCGACGCCGGCGTAGTGGTCAACATCCATACCTCTCACGCCAAAGTCACGAGTTCAAATCTCACCCCCGGACAAGTCACGAATAACCCAAGAGTGTTAAAATGACTATAATTAAAAAAAAAAAAAAAAAAAAAAAACTAGCACAAGTAGCTTGAAGTAGGTTCGATCGGTTGAATGAACGCCAAAAAAGAGATCCCAAGTTGTTGCGATCTGTTTCGACCTCTCATTAAACACAGCCTATACTACCGCTATTCGCATAACAGTCCCATGTCCTGTGAGTTTCCTATCTACAAGGGACAGTTATGTGCATAGCGGCAGTATGCTGCCGCTCATGGCAAGTCCGTCCCATAACACAAACTCCAGTTTTGACAAAAACGCAAATGGGACCGAATTGCGATAGGCGGCAGGTACGAGACAGGTAATAATCATGAAGTGGGGTAGCTAACGTGGGGTCAGACTACGTGCCGCCATTTACGTTACACGTAAAAGTGCGTAAAATGTGAACGGGAACTGTCCACAAAGCATGTGGGTGGACTTCCTCTCAATTAACCATTTTATTCGAGCACTTAAAATGACGTTTACTACCAATCGAACTTTAAAATAAAACATTATTTTGAGATTTTTTCTTCTAGAACCTCGAGAGAAGTAGCCAACATTTGCGCGTTTCATAAAAAAAGATAAATTATTTGGTCCAGTTTTGTGAAATCGCTGGTAGAAAGTCACGTCAAAACTGCTTGACAAAGAGGTCAATGGTAGACACACCATTTTTTGCAGGGTGTGACATTTACAAAATTTATGTTTCGGAATTAAATAACAACTCTACACTATACGGAAGTGAAAATTTTATTGAAATTTCGCAAAACGTTGAAACTGAAAACTTAAGAAAGCTCATACAATAATTTATGCTACTTTGTATGAATACACTACAATATGTTCCTTCAATAATATATAATTTCTCATTTACTCATATACGATGCAAATTTGTCAAATCAATACCAATATGAACCAAATATTCTAGACTCCTACGTTATACCATAATGTAAGTCATAAATCATGAATCAATTATTTTCTTTTGTTGTATTCCAATAGTCACGAAGTAATTGTATTGTAAATAATTTCTTTCAAATAATTTTTTCCTCAGCATGATGTTGATCTGAATTGTGTATCAATATTATTTATTAATCAATGAAGAGTTTTCCTATACCGTAAGGGAGGATTATTCTACAGGATAATGAACATATGTTTGAAGAATATATTGCTCCATCTAATATGCATATACATAACATTTTCAAAGAGAGGGGAAACTGTCGACCGATGTTCAGACAAAATTTTCCTTGATTTATTTTATAATGGGAAAATGACGTCATCGTGAACTCTTATCAATTATCATCAGTGGGTAAATTTAGTTCTTGAGCGCTAATTTTATTGGATGACATCGCTTGACCAAAATTGAGAGCGCTCCATGACTCTCTGACGATACAAGGTAAAAAATTATGAAGACGTAAAACACCACAATCGAATACGGTCATCTTCTCGACAGAAAAAAACATCAATGATTTCATTATGGGACGCATCGAGGAGCAAATAAAACTAACATAAGTGTAACCATTGAATACAAACGACTCATTTTTGGAAATAGTCAAATGGATGTTTCTATGGTACGCCACAACCGAGTAAGAATCGAATCACACATCACGTAATACGTTCAGCGAGGAAAAGATGTTGTCTTTATGTTACATGCCATATACTGTGTTTCGCTATCGCTGGAATTTTCTGAATCTAGTTGAAGTTTGTGTTACGTCTTATGTCAAAGATACTTACTCATCTGGCATAGAATATAAGAAAACAAAGCTATGAGTCAATTTAAGCCAACTTTCTTATCGTTTTGATCTGGCTAGTTCGACAGCCACAAGTGTCTAAAAATACATAAATCCCGCATTCCAAAATATTTATCCGGGTACTATGCAAACAAAAATGTGCTTTTCTTCCAAGACTAAGTTCTAGTGGTTTACATAAACCACTCTTGGTAGGTTAGGTGTTCATTAATTTTTTGTTCGGATTTTTCTTGTATTTTTGCAGTTTTTTTTTTGTGATTTTCAGAGGCTTTTTCTTCATCACTGTTTCTCATTAAGACTGTCGCATCTGTTGTGATCATATGTGGGATGTTTTCTTATTTTTTTGTGTCTGCAATCCTCTTTCTTTACACACGTGTTTTCCAATTTTTATGTTCAGAGATAATGGTATTTCTTGTATTTATTTTCTTGAGGGATTGCTCTAACAGTGCGATTGTACGTGTATGCCTTGAAAGAAATTTCTTACAAAAGCTTGAACACTGCAATGCACTGCCGAACGCAATCAACTGTTTTGCTTTTTTTTTTGTTTTTTTTTCGTACATTTATTTTTATGCTTACGTTCCTTTTTATTATTTTATATATATTTTCAATTTTTTTGTATTTTTATTTTTATTATACTTTATTTATTTTGTTTGAATTTACCAAAACCGAAAAAAATCAAATGTGAATTAGGAAGCAAAATTATAACAGTGGACTCCAACTTTAGCAAGTATTCCCAAGCATAGTCTACCGATAATAATTATGCAGATAGTATACTCTCATATTAGTGCGACAGAAGTATAGATAATCTTTTTATTCTAGCATCATTTCAAGTGAATTAATTTTAATGAATCGACAGTGGTAAGCTGAATTTAGCAAGAAAGTTCAAATTTAGGTTCAATTTTCGTTTTCAAAGTTATCTATCAAAACGCGTAAATCAATTGATGAATAGTTCATTACCTCTATGAATCTCCTTTTCTGAGTTTTTAAGTATGTGTGTTCATTGTCGAAGAGTAAAACTGAATCATTTCCGAAATTTGCCTATATGAGAGGAATATTGTATGTGACCTTTATCGATGATGTTGAAAGATTATATACGGTCGCAGCTAAATAATCGAGTCCATTGCTTTACTGCGGTTGAGTTTTCTGCTGATGGGCGTGCAGAACTGCAACGGCTTCGTCAACTTTAGCCTTCAGCGATTCACTGTGCTCCAGCATGTGAACGAGCTCCGAGTTGTCAATCTCGAGCAACATTCCGGTGATCTTACCTGCAATCGATGGATACATTGGTTCGATCAATGGGAACAGACGCTCACCCAACATCTGTTTTTGTTCTGCTGGCTGCGCTGCAGCCAACATGGTGGCTGTAAGTGGTTCTTGTCCTGAGGAGAGAAAAAAAAAACATTATGGAAACAAGCAAATCAGCAAACTTAGAAACCTAACCTTTGACATGGACAGCTTGCTGAGCAACCGGTTGAGCTGGCATAGTCACAGGTTGAGCCGGAGGATTACGCATGTTTTGTGTGTACTTGTAGTTGGCAGCACGGGCTTGATTAGCAGCCATCTGTGGAGCAACCGGGCGAGCTTGCATATTGCCACCAGCCTGTTGACCAGTGATTGGTCGAGCCGAGTTACGCATAGCTGCGGCAGACGCAGCTTGAGCGGCTTGTGCATTTGGAGCTGGTTGTTGATTCGCGCGTACATTTGTAGCTTGACGATATTGATTACCAGCGGTAGCTGCAGCCATAGCAGGATATGCACCTCCTGCAGCGTTGGCAGCAACAGCATTCTGGTTCGCATTTGCACGGAACCATCCCGGAGTAGTACGAATCTGACTAACCTGCTTCGAGAAGAAACGTTGCGGTTGTGGGAGCGTTGGTACATAATATCCACCGTTACCGCCCGGTTGGAAGATTTGTCCCATGTGCTGCATACGCATGTTGGCCATACGCTGCATGTATTGCGATGCCAGGTGAGCCTTACGATCCTCCTTGCGTTGTGCAAGCGCAACATAAAGCGGCTTGCTTCCAACGATGCGACCATTCATTTCAGTGACTGCTTTCGTGGCTTCCTCGGCAGCAGAGAAACAAACGAAACCGAATCCTTTAGAACGACCTTCTTCCAACATCACCTTGGCAGAAGTGATGGTACCAAATGGAGAAAATTCCTTGCGTAAACGTTCGTCATCGATCGAATCATCCAGATTTTTCACATACAGGTTAACACCTTGGTAGCGAGTCAAACGTTCCATTTTCAGTTGTTCGAAACGACGTTTGAGCTCCATTTGACGTTCGTTCTTCTTTTGTGCTCGGCCAACATATAGGACTTTGCCTTCACCGAGTTCCTTTCCGTTCAACTCTTGGACGGCATGTTCAGCTGACTCAGGATTTTCAAAGGCAACGAAACCGAAGCCACGGCTTTTGCCGTCCTTGATCATAACGCGATGACTGGTAATTGTTCCATATTTTTCGAACATTTCCTTGAGGGTCTCGTCGTTCAGCTCATCACCGAAGTTTTTCACATACACATTGGTGAACAGCTTAGCCTTCTCTCCCAGCTCCTTCTCGCGCTCCTTGCGTGGGATGAATCGGCCAACATAAACCTTCTTAGCATTGAGCAACATACCGTTAACCTTTTCGATAGATGTGTTTGCCGATTCTTCGGTTTCGAAATGAACAAATCCATACCCTTTCGAATTTCCCTTCTCGTCCTGAGCAACCTTACAGCTGAGGATATTGCCGAAAGCTGAGAACGTATCGTACATAGCCTTGTTGTCGATATTTTTGTCCAAGTTCTTGATGAACACGTTGCCAACTCCAGACTTGCGTAGCGATGGATCACGTTGTGACCACATAATACGAATTGGACGTCCTTTGATCAGATCGAAATTCATAGTATCGAGCGCACGCTCAGCTGAAATAATCAAAATCACGACAAATGTAATTAGGAGACGTTATTTCTGGATTTAATGTATAGCCGTATTGAGGTAAATCTCGACAGTTAGTCGTTCTTCCAAAACGTATCAAATCAGGATAAATTATGAACGGATCTTTTTAGGGCACCATAAGTTGTGCTTATAAAATATGAACCTAAGAAGTTATTTGCATGATGCCTCGGGGGTCAGACTAAAGCTCTTATAATATGTTTCGTTTCCAAGCACAGAAGGGGGTCATATAGCCAGGTATTTAGTGAAAAATCACAGTCCATCCTGCGCGCCAGGGTAGGAAGTAAAGATTATATTTCTTCCTCACCTTCTAGTTTTAACTGCGTTCAAAAATAATTAACTAAAAAAAATAATAATAATAAAAGTAAATAAAAATAAATAAAAAAAAAAAACAAACAAGCAAAAAACTATGCAAAATTTCATACCATAACATATCTAACGTACTATACACATTTTTTGGCTAACACCTAAATGTAATTTTTAATTTTATGACGATAAGTTGTTTAAAATAGCAGCCTGTAATTCCGTACCAGAATCCGCCTCCAATTTAATGTCTTTCGATATTTTCGAAGGCGAACACTCCGCAACCTGTTCTAGTGATTCTGTCCACTTGTTAGGTATCCAAATTATAGTCATTCGTTAGTTTATTATTGAATATAGGGATGAATTATCTATTATTTACGATAATTACATGAAATAAATAAAATATAAACTACAAACAAAACGTGACTACTAAAATATCAAAAAGATATTCTCACAAATGTATTTCACGCAACCAGGAATCTGAAAATCATTAGACGCTATAATGATTTTTTTTTTTCTCAAATAAAGAATAAAAAAAAACTATGATACTTTGCACATGCTAGACACAAGAAGAAGCCAAAAGGCAAGCGTCCGACACACAAAACCCGTAAGAGATGAACTAGCCTATGGCTAAAAATCTCTTAAATAAAGATTGAAAAAAAAACACCAAACCCGTCAAATCCACTCGCAGCCACAATCAAAGATTCTACGAATCGTGAGCCCTCACGAATCATAAAACCACCGACTGCGAAACTCTGAAAGCGAAATTGACAGGCTTTATGCCACCGATGAACCGACATGTCACTAGAGCATTTCGTTTGTCCACAATTCGATTTGTCAAATGAGCGATTCGATCTGTCAAACGGGCGATCAGATCTGCCAAACGAGGTGAAACGCAAACCAAGTCAATATAAATTTTACGTGTGTTCGTGTCTTTGCTCACGATATAACGTGATCGAATGAGTAGATGGCGGTAGGGTTTAACGTATTTTAAATATGGCGTCTTGGGCAAGAATTTGTATGTAGCTTCTATGAGCTGGCACGTCGGTTCGTCGGTGTTTATGCGTCAAACATCCGCCCTCCAATCTCCTCCCGTATTCAACAAACACAAATCCCCATTACAACATCTAACGAATTCAAAACTCCGAAAATCACTCTCTATTGATGAATCTACGCGAAACTGCACCAGTGCATGCGACACCTAGGTTTGAAGTCCAAAACCACAAAAGTGATGATGTACTAAAAAATATTCCATACGATTTGACAGTTAGCAAAACGTCATTATCATTTTCACATCATTTCCATCTGCTGGCCGACCGTAACGTAGATTCATCAATAGCAAGTGAGTGGAAGCAACCCTGCATGCAACCATTCTTCATGGTACACTTTTTCTACCTATCTTTCTATTAGGCCTGTGAACATGCGTTAGCTTCGAAACTTCTAACCAAACTAGGAAATCTATCAGATCACAAAAACTTGAAAAAAGTTTCAAAGATATTATTGATTATTTTACGCAAAAACGAGCAAGTAATAATAAATCTTTTGTATCGTATTTTGACTGTAACAAAAATAATATGCTAAAAATAAAATAAAATTTTAATAAAATTTTATGTAAAATTTACTAGAAGAAGATTACTTTATTGGCGAAAAGTTTCTAGTAAGCCCTTCCAGTTCCTCTATATACAGAACAAATCTGATACTATAATCAGAATTGTTCAGTCTGCATGAAGCAGCCGATTTCCAGCTAGCTGGCATCCTTATCTTGTTTGCCTTGCCTTGAAAAGAGCTAACATCGCTGCGGACCCGCGAATTGCGGGCCCCACTGACAGCTCATAATTTGTAATCAAATAGAAGATTCAAGCCAGAATTTCAAAAAAGGCGTGACTGATATTATGGATATTCTTAATATTTTTGCTTACATTTTGTGAAAAATAAACTAAGGACTCATAAAATATTATTTTCTGATTTTCTTCCACGAAGTCAACCATTTATATGGCATAAAAGGGAAAATAATTTCATTTGATAAAAATAAGACAATTCAGTCACGCCATTTTTGCAGTTCACACTGGAATTGTGACGTTTCAGATGTTGGTTTCAATAACATGGCGGCATGCCAGCCAGCTGCCGATTTCATCAAGGAAGTTCTATTAACAACCAAGAATTAAACGTTTGAGGCTTACTGAACCATCAAGTTTTTTTTTTATAGTCACTTTAAAACTCTTGGGTCATTCGTGACTTGTCCGAGGTGAGATTTGAACTCGTGACTTTGGCATGAGAGGTATGGATGTTAAACACTACGCCGGGGTTGCCCCCGCATTAAGAAGGCGATATGTGTCACTATAGGAAATCATCATCGTTGCAAATATAAAGAAATTAAACATAACCCTTTGCTTCAGTACCGTCAACCTCCATGTCCATGGGGAGGGCCATACAAATTACAATGAAAAACACAAAACTGGCATCTGCCGTCGTGTTCGCGGAAAATGTTTATTCTAGCCACGAACACGCGTACAAATTATATGAGTTGATTCGTGTAAATTATTTTTACCTAGGTAAAAAAAAATCTATGGTTTTGACAGATAGGATCGCTGTACATTTGAATCGGCCGCATGATTGATTGATTTCTTTATTATAGAGACTTTCAGCCGTTGGCTGGTTCGTCTCTGAAAAGATAGTGTGGGGTCCAGAACGGACCTAATCTAGTTACAAAGTTTTTTTTTTTTTCTTCTCCTTTTTTATCATGTTAGGAGGCCTCCTCTAGTTAAGTACTGAGGCTGTCAATGTGCTGTCTTTCTTCGGAGTTTTGATTGTTAAGTTGCTGAGGATCTTGATTTGGTTTGAGTTGTTGGGTGATAAGAGAAAGTCCATTGGTATTGCGGTGGTCGGGATTTTGGCAGGTTTCATATTTGATCGAAGAAACCAGATTTAATGCCATATTCATACTCGAATCGGTTGAAAAATACACTTAATCTTCTATAGAGATGAACTAGCCTAAGGCTAAAAATCTCTTAAATAAAGAATTAAAAAAAAAAAAAACTTAATCTTCTAGTTTGCTCGATATCTATCCATTGCAAGCTATATAATGATAATTGTTTATGTTTTGAGAGTTGGTGCACAGGTAGATTGAGGTTAAGGAAACGCCACTGTAGAATCTACTGCAATATTTATTTTGCTAAGATTCTAATTGTAAGCCTTCTTCACTGCTTATCCAGATTCCAGCACTAGTACTGGAACTTCATGGACCAGTTCTATGAATTCATAATGTAAAGGTTATTTTAACCTACCCCAGCGTAGTGGTGAGCATCCATACCTCACACGCCAAAGTCATGAGTTCAAATCTCACGAATGACCCAAGAGCGTTAAAGCACAGAGAACAGACGTTGAGGCTCGAACTCATTTCTATAAAAACTTGTGTAAAGATTCCTATTCGACTTAAGCGCCGCCAACGCCGACTTCCCCACCCTCTTTGACAACATGATACTGATGGCGTTGCATACCGACACTAAGTGCCGGTAGCGCGGAGTGGTAATTTTAAACCGAAAATTTATCGATACTAGCGCAAAAATGGTCGAAAGTGGAAAATTTATAGAAGAAATCAGGAGATGCTAGCGCTACGTAACGGCGACGTTCCCACTTATCATTACACAAGTTTCTGGTGGAAGTTGGACGTCTGTTCTCTGTGTTAGTACTTAAACCACAGACAAACAGACATAACACTCGCAAGTTGTTCATCGAACAAGCATTTAACGGTTAATTTAAAAGTATCGTAGTTGGTAGTACCGCCACCTGTGGCGCGCATTGTCAATTTCCTTGCGTTTGACGTTAAGACACTACTGCCATCTGTTCAGCTTACTACCCACCACAGTGTACTCAACAGATGGCGGTAATGTTTTAGCGACGATGTTTTACTTTGAAAAATATTCAATGTGTTATGTCTGTTTGTCTGTGCTTAAACCATGCATAGAGATAAGTTAATGTACCAGAACCTGAACGGACACTACCGCCAACCCAGGGGAAGACCCGGATACGACCACCTATGTGTATCTAGAGTATCGCACGGGCTCACGAGTGCAACTGGAAGAACAGTAGGTACACCGAAAATAGTTTACACGTCGCTTCCATAGGAAACAAACATGATTTTCTTCCATAAACAAAAATAATGGAATTCATCTGAATTTCACATAACATTAATGCGATCACATGAATTTCGTATGATTTTTCATATGAATTTCATCGGCCTCCTAATATTCATGTTATTTTGTGGTGGGATTTGCAGCTGGATTTCATCCATTAGATATGTGATAAATTTTGAGTGCAGATGGTTGGTCCTACACACAGGCAAATTAACGTAAGAATTCCATAAGATAAGAATTTTCTCAAAACTCAAGGCTCGCCTACACAAACTGACACCATCTTTGGCTTGGAGAAAATTTCCCCTATACGACGATGCCGTTAATTTGCGTTCGATTGGCGAGGAAAGAAAATCAACGTTTTGTTTATAAATTTGATAGTACCTTTTCAATTGTTGGTCTAAAATATATTGAATTGGTTCCGCTTGTTGATAGATCGAAATTCTATCCGCCAGACTATGAATATAGCGACTATAGTTGGACCCTAAATACGCCGACTTTTTTTTTTTTTTTTCCTCTGGTTTGTTTTTTCCGTCGATCTTGTTTTCCGTGCTGAGCACCAATGCTACCGACGTGCCAGGAAGGCAGCTCCCACACCTGGACCCTACCTATCGACCCATCAACTCATGAACCGGGGACCAACGGCTTTACTTCCCATCCGAAGGAAGGCGTGATCAGAGATGTTATGCCTCAGAACATCCCGGCGGCGCCGACTGGGATTGAACCCAGGCCTACTGGGGTGAGAGGTAATCACGCTTACCACTACACCACCGGCGCCGTTAAATACGCCGACTTAGCGGAATACAATTACTATACTGCATAGCCGAATAATGCCGCGAAATCTAAGCTGATATTGCAGTCGACCACTAAACAAATAAAATGTCTACGTAGTTAATAAGTTGCCCCTTATTAAAACTGGCTACAGAACGATTCCTAAGAACATTCAGCGAATCTAAATGAAATACTTTTTTATCTATGTCCCCCGTTTTCCCTTTTGGAATTTCTTATACGATGTGTAGAACAGTTTCCATGTGTATAAATGGTAAGGGGCTGTTCACGAAACCACGTAGCACTTTAGTTGGGAGGGGGTTTGGCGAGTGTCTACGGTTTATATAAATTAAAAAAAAATGTATATGAACGATTGTTTACGCGGGGGAGGGAGGGGTTAGTCTAACCCTCTCTAAAACGGTCCACGTAATTTATGAACAGTCCCTTATCAGAAACCCCAAAACTTGCCCTCACACGGTGTCGTTGATTGATTTCGCAAAAATGTTTATGAATAGCTGTTTTACCCCCGTTTGTAATATCGATGGCTCAATATTAATCTGACAGTGGATCACCCTCCAACCCTGCTTATGATGAAAAGAGCCAGAAATACAATATGGCGGACCAGAAGTTTTTTTCCTTTGCTGGCGACAGGGGTAGCAAAAACGAAACGAAGGAACACGTGTGGTAAGAAAAATGACTTACCGTCCGCTGGTTGTTGGAAGTTGACGTAGGCATATCCAAGCGAACGACGAGTGACCACGTCACGGCAGACACGGATGGAAAGCACCGGGCCAGCCGATGAGAATTTCTCGAACAGCATCGCCTCAGTGATGTCTGCGTGTAGATCTCCAACATATAAAGACGCCATTTGATAGTTGGGACCTCCAGGGTTCATGTTACCCTACGAGTATGCACTTTCACTGAGCAGTGGATTTCACTACTCGCCAACGCTCCACTTCCTCTACCTGTTGTAAACTATAGGTTCAGGGCAGTCCTCCGCACACGTAGCTAATTTTTCCTACCGACGAAAGAGTTTTTATTCCAGGGGTTTTGCAGAATAGGTTTTTGATGAGTAATATTTTTCCTCCAAGCATTTGACGCAGGAAAAAAAATGAACATAAAAGGCTACACACTTGCAATTTTCCTTGGTTTTTCACTTTTTTCGATTTTTTTGGGGTGTTTTTGCTTGTTTTTTAATTTTTTTTGGGTTTTTCTAGTTATTTTTTATGCACAAAAATGTGAATGGTTGTGCGATTCTTGAAGAAGCACAACCTCACAACGTCAGCGACACTCTTTGTCTGATGTGTTTCGTTGCTGACTGTGCCACTTGAAAGAGCCACACGGATACCGTGTGTTTCGCTTGCTCTGATGCGACAGTTGTGAGCACGACAGAGAACGCAAAATTAACTGACAACTGCTTCGAACAGGAAGCACGAAAAAATGGCTGCCGTTTCGAACGAAAACTGTTCGAAACTTCAAAACTAATCGACCACTATGACAACTAGATGCCGCTAAAGCATACACTCAAAAAATACTATTGGAAATTTTAGTAACAGCTCAGCACATGATGATGATAACAGGCTGCATATAAAATTCGAGAAAATGACCATTAATTCCTACACGGAACCGTAAAATTACCCAAAATTAAGTTCTTTCCACTCATCTCCCATGTTCCGTTCAATAAGCTAATTTTCAGTAAATCGCTTATAGTAGTTTGCATTTGGCTACGGCAAAAATAATTACTTACTCGTATGTATTTTCTACCCAAAATAAAGTTCAATTGACTCAAATTTGAGAATATCTCATATACTCACTAGTAGCTTATTGAACGATAGTCATGAGAAAGTCGAATCTCTCGTTCCGTTTTTGACAACAGCAAAAAGTGAAAGTGGGATGCAAAACTCAAAATAACCCAAAATTAAGTAAAAAGAACTTAATTTGAGGGTAATTTTTTTTTTCTCTGTGTAATTTTCATCAAACCTCCGTAAAATCGTTCCAATCTACCCTTCAAATTGAAGACTGCAGGATGCAATTGATGAATCTACGTTACGGTCGGCCAGCAGATGGAAATGATGTGAAAATGATAATGACGTTTTGCTAGCTGTCAAATCGTATGGAATATTTTTTAGTACATCATCACTTTTGTGGTTTTGGAATTCAAACCTAGGTGTCGCATGCACTGGTGCAGTTTCGCGTAGATTCATCAATTCAGTGCCAACATTTCAAAGGGGCGCAATTGCTTTTGTAAACAATGACTTTAGCCGTCAATTTCTCGTGAATGAAATCTTACCTCTCCGAAATCTTACCTCTCCGAAATAAAAAAAAAAAAGACATTCCTCTACCTGCTGGTGTCATTATTTTTCATGAGTGAGCTTTTATTCGCGAGAAATCGACGGCTAAATCCATTGTTTACAAATGCAATTACGCCCCTTTGAAATGTTGGCACTGAATTGTATCAATTGGCAAATTGGCGTCTGGTAGTGAAACTTTTGCGAGCTTTTGCCACCTACACTTCAAAGTAAGAACTACTATAGATAGTTCAGGAGCAATTTTTCATTACGTCGAAAGTAACAAAGGTAAACAAAGTCGAGATATCAGAACAGACAAACAGACATAACACATTGAATATTTCTCACTGTAAAACATCGTAGCTAAAACATTACCGCCATCTGCTGAGTGCACTGTGGTGGGCAACACGCTGAACAGATGGCGGTAGTGTGTAAACGTCAAACGCAAGGGAATTGATTATGGTGGTGGTACTACCAACTAATTTATTTTTTAACCCCGTATCGTGGGTAGATCACCTTTTCGTGGTTCGTTACGGGATGTAAGATCTACACAGAAAAAAAAGTTATTGAATATTACATCCAAACTGCTGCAACCAGGTCAATCCATCGGTTGTGTAATATCACATTGTACGATGTACATCGATTTTGCGAACAAAATTACATCCATTGATGTAATATTGTATTTGCTTTTTGCTATTACATCATTATTTCATACATCTGCTTGAATTACGTTGATCGATATTACATTTTTTTTTTGCTGTGTACCACCGATTCCTAGTCTTGGCGACTTCAAACTAGGGGAACATGATTTTCCAGTAATCAAAGGAACACATCTTAGTCCTGACTGCGTTACATCACGATGTTGGGATTTGAAATGCTCCCAACTGATGATGACCTGAAACAGGTCCCGGATATTGGATCTTAGAGCCACAAGACTGGTCGAACCCTTCGTGAAATGTGAAGTGATATGGTTAAATAAAACGTACACGATTGCTCAGAAAAGAAACTTGCTTCTATATTATACTGTTTACATCGAGTGAATAAAACACAGAAATCTGAACGTCATCAGTTGACAGTTAAACTTAACCATGAGCGAGGGTATAGATGGGGGCAAATAGTTCGTCAGAAAGGTTTATATACTTAACACGCCCGCTTAAACATTGCAGTCTACACTGAAACAAAGATAATAGTTAGGAATACTATTTTGCAGAAAACACTTATTTTCAGTATAACTACGCTTAATACCCCGTTCACATTACAACCTATATCACGTAATATAGGCTGTCTTGCAATGAGCACTCATACATAGGATTTCCAGTGAAAACTAGATGTATGAGTGCTCATTGCAAGACAGCGTATATCACGTGATATACGCTGTAATGTGAACAGGGTATAATACCGTTAAATCTACCATGATTTCAGTATAGTTGACTATAAATATAATCAAATTTACTACCATTCTGTCAAAACTACTATGCTGACTCAAACAGTATAGTAGTTTTGATAGAAAAATTATTCAAATTAAATGAATTTCGTTTCTGCACAAATCTATTGGTGGGAGTATTTAATTTAAACCATCAATATAGTATTTTTGCCAATGGATTTTGTTTCTGTGTATCATTTCCAAACTATCTCGCAGCTTCTTGAAACCAGGAGCAGGCAGACCTTTCGTCAGAATATCGGCCTGCTTTATTGCTGCTCTCACCAATTTTGATGAATGATAATGACGTTTTGCTAGCTGTCAAATCGTATGGAATATTTTTTAGTACATCATCACTTTTGTGGTTTTGGAATTCAAACCTAGGTGTCGCATGCACTGGTGCAGTTTCGCGTAGATTCATCAATTCAGTGCCAACATTTCAAAGGGGCGCAATTGCTTTTGTAAACAATGACTTTAGCCGTCAATTTCTCGTGAATGAAATCTTACCTCTCCGAAATCTTACCTCTCCGAAATAAAAAAAAAAAAGACATTCCTCTACCTGCTGGTGTCATTATTTTTCATGAGTGAGCTTTTATTCGCGAGAAATCGACGGCTAAATCCATTGTTTACAAATGCAATTACGCCCCTTTGAAATGTTGGCACTGAATTGTATCAATTGGCAAATTGGCGTCTGGTAGTGAAACTTTTGCGAGCTTTTGCCACCTACACTTCAAAGTAAGAACTACTATAGATAGTTCAGGAGCAATTTTTCATTACGTCGAAAGTAACAAAGGTAAACAAAGTCGAGATATCAGAACAGACAAACAGACATAACACATTGAATATTTCTCACTGTAAAACATCGTAGCTAAAACATTACCGCCATCTGCTGAGTGCACTGTGGTGGGCAACACGCTGAACAGATGGCGGTAGTGTGTAAACGTCAAACGCAAGGGAATTGATTATGGTGGTGGTACTACCAACTAATTTATTTTTTAACCCCGTATCGTGGGTAGATCACCTTTTCGTGGTTCGTTACGGGATGTAAGATCTACACAGAAAAAAAAGTTATTGAATATTACATCCAAACTGCTGCAACCAGGTCAATCCATCGGTTGTGTAATATCACATTGTACGATGTACATCGATTTTGCGAACAAAATTACATCCATTGATGTAATATTGTATTTGCTTTTTGCTATTACATCATTATTTCATACATCTGCTTGAATTACGTTGATCGATATTACATTTTTTTTTTGCTGTGTACCACCGATTCCTAGTCTTGGCGACTTCAAACTAGGGGAACATGATTTTCCAGTAATCAAAGGAACACATCTTAGTCCTGACTGCGTTACATCACGATGTTGGGATTTGAAATGCTCCCAACTGATGATGACCTGAAACAGGTCCCGGATATTGGATCTTAGAGCCACAAGACTGGTCGAACCCTTCGTGAAATGTGAAGTGATATGGTTAAATAAAACGTACACGATTGCTCAGAAAAGAAACTTGCTTCTATATTATACTGTTTACATCGAGTGAATAAAACACAGAAATCTGAACGTCATCAGTTGACAGTTAAACTTAACCATGAGCGAGGGTATAGATGGGGGCAAATAGTTCGTCAGAAAGGTTTATATACTTAACACGCCCGCTTAAACATTGCAGTCTACACTGAAACAAAGATAATAGTTAGGAATACTATTTTGCAGAAAACACTTATTTTCAGTATAACTACGCTTAATACCCCGTTCACATTACAACCTATATCACGTAATATAGGCTGTCTTGCAATGAGCACTCATACATAGGATTTCCAGTGAAAACTAGATGTATGAGTGCTCATTGCAAGACAGCGTATATCACGTGATATACGCTGTAATGTGAACAGGGTATAATACCGTTAAATCTACCATGATTTCAGTATAGTTGACTATAAATATAATCAAATTTACTACCATTCTGTCAAAACTACTATGCTGACTCAAACAGTATAGTAGTTTTGATAGAAAAATTATTCAAATTAAATGAATTTCGTTTCTGCACAAATCTATTGGTGGGAGTATTTAATTTAAACCATCAATATAGTATTTTTGCCAATGGATTTTGTTTCTGTGTATCATTTCCAAACTATCTCGCAGCTTCTTGAAACCAGGAGCAGGCAGACCTTTCGTCAGAATATCGGCCTGCTTTATTGCTGCTCTCACCAATTTTGATGAGATTCCTCTCCAACAAATCACGAACGTAGAAATACTTTACATCCATATGCTTCAGGCGCGAAGAATCTTTTGGGCTCGAAGCAATTTTAATCGTCGATTGATTATCCTCATGGAAACAGATAGGACCATCCGGAAACCATCCAACATCTCCCAACAATCGGACTAGCCACTGGCTGTGGCACGCAGCCGTACAGAGTGCAACCAGTTCTGCCTCGGTCGACGACAGTGAAACTGTTGCTTGCTTCTTCGAATACCAAACCGCAGCACCAAGAATTTGAACACCGCACCCGAAACGGAACGACGGTCGGTGACATCGCTTGCCCAATCCGCATCGGTGTATGCTTCCAGCAGTGGACTATCGTTGCTAGCCTCGTTGCTAGCACGGTAACACAA